ACAGTAGCTGTAGTATCGGTAATCCAATTTGATTTAGAAACAAGTTGTGAAAAAAAATTCCTACCAGGGCTCAAGAAAATTTTAGTTCACGGGTGAATTTCAAGTAGCTGTCGGGAAAGCACTGAACCAATCAATGAGGGGTAGGTTGAGGTCTCCCAGCAATAAAATGGGCCTAGGAGGAAACCTAGAGAAGATTATATTCAAAGCATCATGTAACCTTGATCAGAAGGTTGCGGTCACATTGGGAAAACGATAGCACACACAAACAAAAGCGATTCTGTTTGCACAACGCAAACGTACGCATAACAGTTCCAGTGCGGTAGCAATATCTACGTGACAGCTTTCAAGGTTATTGCTCATTGCGTTGGTTATTGCTCATTGCAAACCCAGTCGCCACGTCTGTGATCCCTATCAGAACGATAACAGCTACAACTCTCAAAACAATGAAATATTTCATAGCCGCGACCCGCACACAAAAGCCATATTTCAATTAAAAAACGACATCTCTAGATTGTGAGTCAATAACTGATGACAGTTCGCCGAAATTCCGCATAACACTTTGATATTAGTAAAAACGACAGACAAAAACTTAAGTGTTATTTTATCAATTTTGTTTTAATTTCACTGTTGCAGGCTCATCGGAGACGTCTGGCTAGCTATGTGGTAACCTCAAAGACTTGTCAAGTTTTAAAACTAAAGTAAAATTGTTTATCACCAACGAACAGCTTGTGAACACGAAGTCAGTAAGGATATCCCTGCCTACGGGCAAAATCTAAAATCTTCCTCCTCGCAAGCTGTTCGTTCTTCGGGTACTCCTTACCAAAGAAAATATACGATTCATTTAGCTTATTGCATTACCGCAGCACAGGTTCTTTGCGTTTAAAGGAGGCAAACGTTACAATAATAGTTATTTTCGTATTTGGGTAGAACTGGCCAATATCAGGAGCCCTGTTTATTGCATCGGGGTTAATATGTATATGTCATGTCCAGCGCTGCACATTTCTAAAACAAGTTTCTCTGATTCAGCCCATGTTTCCTTGACCGCGTTTTCTAGCCCGACAAAAAGTAGGTTAAATCTACGGGAACGCCTTTGGGCATCATGAAAACAAAGCTGAAGGTGTGTCATTTTCGTGAGAACGGATTCTGCCCTTGCCTCATTTTCCGTCGTTGCGTTCATTTTTTTTATTTCCGAATGGCAGAATCACCTTCGATAACCCTGACACGCGTAGTTAGTGCGGATATCGTAGCATTTGTATGCTTATGCTCACTTTTTTAATTTGTTAGTTCACTAAAAACACTTGCCTGGCCGGCGTGCAACTGGGTAACCATTTCTTCTATCCTCGACAACGACGCTGCCTCCTGCTTAGACATGGGGGCAGGGTTACGTTCCACGTCACCACTGAGAACCAACAGCAAGAGTAGAAAACCCATTAAACACGACCGTGGGCACGGCAAGACTATGCGAGAAACGCTATTGCTTCTAACTGAACAGGAAAGTTCTTTCTTACTCACCTGCCCAGTGAATAGTAGTGGTATGTTAGGCGTCATTGTTGAAACTGCTGCCGTCCCCACTGGTAGAAACTTTCCGCGGAGCTTCTTTTATAGGCGGAACCGGTGCACTTGATGGCGATGCCCTTAGCGCTGTATTCCGTGGCAGCACCGACAGAAACAGCAGCGCAAGCTATCCAGAGCCGAAGTCGTCATCATGAAACACGTCGGCCAGAGAAATCAGCGGTTTCACCTCCACAACCACAGATGACCCGATGGCTTCCGTTCTGTTAATGCAAGTAATGCAACCGTCATCGACCAGGTACAGGAACTGCACAGTGAATATTAGTGATACGTTAGCCGTCATTGCTGAAACTGTTTTGTCGTGCACACTCGAACAGGAACTTTTGTTGCCATGCCCACTCTTTATAAATCAAAACAGTTCTTAGTCACTCCAACAAGAAAAATTATGAACAAACGAGCTAAATCAACCGATACTGACGCTTTGTGGAACGCATATCACGAATGCTCTTGGTCTTAACAAATAAGTCTCCAAAGATTAAAAAAAAATTATACTCAATTGACCTCCTCAACCTTCTAAGCAGCCGAAAATATTTCAGAAAAAAAAGCTATTCCAGCATTGCCATCTCCATTACAATTTCTAGACGACGAGGGCCTTCCCTTTCGGACAAGCATATCGCTGTCCGCCTAAGCCATGTTTTGTTTTATGTTTACTAATTAAGACCTAAGAAACACTTCTGACTTATGCCAATACTTATCTCCTTATATGAATTAAATCATAACTGACCACGGCGGTGTACTAAAGGTAATCGAACAACTGAAGGTGTCCACTAGTGCGGGCTGTCACAATATTAGCTCGAAAGTATTAATAGACAATAAACACTTGTCCTTCACTTTCTTCCGAGATATATTCTAAGTCACTGAGCCTTTCCAAAATTTCAAGTGATTGGATAATCGATATCCTATTCCCTGTTCACAAAACAGGTGACCGCAAGGAAATTAGCAAATACAACCCTATTTCCCTCACGAGTGCTCCCTCTAAACTTCTGGAGCATATACAATACTGAAGCATCATAACTTTTTAGACTCAAAAAAGCTTATTCTGCAAAATCTGCATGGATTTTGTGAATCGTTCTCTCGCGAAACCCAAGTAACAAGAACTCGAACCGACATTTGTTAATATTTCAGTTCCAGTGTTGAAACTGACTCACTTTTCATTCACATTTTTAAGGTATTTGACAAAGTTCCTCATTGACGCATTTTATTTAAAAAATATTACATGCCTCACTTTGTTACATATACGAGCTTTGAATTTTTGATTTATGGCACGCAGTACTCTACTATGAATAACATTAAATCTCGCACCAGTTCGGAAGCGGCTGGAGTCCCTTAAGCAACGGTGCTTGGGTTTTTTTCATCGTCTTATATACCTCATTAACAACCATAATAGGATATTTTTCTTGGTGCGGTTATTTGTCAAGGATTGCGCGATTTACAAACCTATTCATTCCCAGAACGATCAACAAACTTTAAACGAAAAATCTTTCAATAATAACTCACTGGTGCCAAGAAGTGGCAAATCGATATAAAGTTTAATAAATATCAATTCATTTCGTTTCCAAGCCGTCCACTTATTTAATCATTTCCATGTCACCTCACTATCATATCATTGACGCTTGTGTCTCATATGAATATCTGGAAATCCATGTTCCTCTGATCTGTCATGAACTACTAATTTAACCTCCGTCTTTGGAGACGCAATCTGTACTCTCGAATGTTTCTCCTTTTTTGCGCAGTATTTCTGGGTTAGCGACAAACTCAGGAAAACGACAATATTACACTACATTGGTAAAATCCGAGTACAATACGCTTTCCCAATATCGTCAGCATAGCCATCACCTTAAGAAGCACCCTAGAAGCCGTTCAAAAAAGATAATTTCGTTTCCCTTATTGTGGCTAGTCTCCATATACTAGCAAATTAGGATTACGCCAGTTAGCAAACCTCGACGCACTTTCTCTCCGCCGCCGCCTGTCTCTTTTTCATTGAATCTTTTACCACAACACCCATTTCAGGGAATGTTTTCTATCAGCTCCTCACAGTATTCTTCCTAATCTTGACCATTCTCTTAATTTACGTAAAATTTATTTGTCCACAGTCACTTATCAAATGTCTACATAACCATTGGCAATAAAAAGCTGGTGCGCTACCTAACCAGATTGTTTCTATAAGAACACTAAGATATGTGGAGCAGCTACTACCCATTTGGTTGTAACCCCTCAAATTAGTTTAGTGTCTTAGTATTCTGCTATTGTTGTGCTCATTGTTTCTTCTCTTCATATATTTATGTACATGCCCACTCCCTCGTCTAATACACCTTACGAGTCCTCAAGAAAAAGTAAATGATGATGATGATGATGATGATGATGACGATGGTGATTATAATGATGATGGTCGTCGCGGTGGTGGTGGTGGGGATGGTGAGGGTGATGATGATGATTATGATGAGGATGATTATGATGATGATGATGATGATATAACGTAACACCAAGCGGTTTTTCTTTTCTTTTTTTTCTTTTTTTTTTGTCTTGCTTGTAATACGACGTTCGGTTAAAATGCTTCTTATATTCGGATACACCGGATAAAAAACGCTGTAGCTCACCGATCACTTTTTCTAAGAACCTTTTTAGCTTTCGAAGAATCACATTAAGCTTTTCATGCTTTTTGGCAACGCGATATTCTATATTAAGTTTCACAGTCATAACGCAGCCGACACTACGATTGGATAGAACCAATCGAGCAGTGCCAAAAGTGCATCGTTATCTCACGTGTAGTATTTGCGCGATTACCAACACTCGTTAAACGAGTCGCGCTCATTGAATGTGGCGCAATCCTGCGCTTTGTTTTCTGTATGGTTGGTGTACCTGGTGACAGCAAACGAAGACAAGACGGCAAGCACCGTGACGAAGCACTTCTGTCACTTTTTGATTGACTCTGTCAAATCGTTGCGTCGGCTGCGGTCGTGCGTTACGTAAACCGCAGTATAGAAGCGCAGGCAAATTTTCTTAGTGGTGTAGCTATAAACCTTTTCATCGCTCATCACCCAGGCGAAAAATGCTGGGGTTCTGGAGGCATGCGCAACGTGTGATGTACCGTTCAGCAGAACAACAGCGCGTGCTCACAAGGTGTTCCACAGCTCAGCAGACAAAGATGGCAGAAGGCAGAAGGCGATTTTTGCAAAGGTTACCCTATATAGTACAGAACGGCTGAGGGTAATAATTATTAGGGAAACATGGTACATCAAGCCCGTGCTGCCAAGACAAAAACCCAGTAGAGTACCAGTTGTTGCCCGACATTTGACGGCACGCGTTCGTCAACCCTGACCAAATGAGGGCTGGGAAACACGATAGAGGGTGACGTCGGAATTGTCCCACGAGTCGCGCTTCACATAAAGATAAGAAGCTCAGCGTCCTGTGCCTGTGTTGCAACCCGCAGAGACAACGCGACGGCTGCTGCTGCAGAAATGTACGGGTGTTGCCGTCGGGGACATTTCACCCGGAGCAAAATCCGAATCGTTAAATGTCCGCGTGCGCGTATAAAACCGTCACCGTTTGTGGACCGGTGTGTTATGGGATACCGTCGTGTCGTGTGAAATTTTCCACGATGCTCACCGCGGTTTTGTTCGTTGCAGTGTTCTCCGGTGGATACGGAACACGTGAGCCATTTCGGTTTTATTCGGCTGTTATATTTGCGAAAAGAAAGTCATTGTCCCGAAGAATGTTTCTAGTATCATACTTTGTTTCTCATATGTCAGAACGAGGTGGCTACCACAAAGACGACGTTCCAAACCAAGCCGTACCAAAAGAGTGAAGTCATGGCGTTTTCCATGCTTCTCTGCGTGTGCCAAAGGGCTAACGCAATCAGGCCCAATGCGTGCATCGTGATATTTCGCATTTATTATCTGTCTTTTTGTTTGTACACCTCATAGTCTTTGGCTGCGCTGACTTACGGTGAAATGAAGTATAGTATTGGACATCAGAAAAAACATCCCAGTGTATATTTTGTTCTTTTTTCGCGGAACAAACCGAAAACGAGTCATTACAAATTTTAAATGCTGGCTCAGTGACACGTTTCCCAGAGGGGTTTTCACCCAAACTATCACCTCTTGAATGTAGCATAGGACTTCGTGAGCATTCCTTGTTTTCTTGAATTGATAATGTATAAGGACTACACTAATATTTTTTTATTAAAGCTGCACTACTATGTCTAGGACAAAAATCTAATGTTTAGCTTGTCAAGCTTTCCAAATTGCTGCCGTTTACCAGATTACAATGAAACATAAGATAAAGCAAAGTATATCCTTTCAAACCTCCGACAAAATCTTTCACAGACATGTAAACTAATATATTATAAAGTAAAATGTTAGCATAACTAACAGTATGCATATTTTGCGCTAATAATTTATTCAAATAGTTGAATTCAACAGTTGAATGAAATGTGAGTTCAATTAATTTGCAAATGTAAATAAATTAAAGATTGAATTATTCTGAGTTGTGGACTGTATTTATGAGGTAGCAAGGCTGGTTCCTAAGTGCCTCCTTGAAACACGTTTTACTTTTTTTTTTTCTAAAATGTGCTATGGAATGCTTGTATCATGTACAATAAAAATATCAAATTATAGCAAATTACTTATTGTACAAGAAAGTTATACGAGTACTTAAAAATTATAAAAGGAACATAAGAGTACCTCACGTTCAACCAATTTTCTTTAAATATTGTATTTTGAAAGCATGCAAATTACAATTTAAATTACTAGAAATCATTTATGAAGTGAAATTCTAACTTACTGCCGACGAAACAGAAACATCGTCGTATACGTTGCGTCATGTTGCGCAAAGGACATACCCGGACCAATTAGGGAAACCAGAGTTCGCAGTATTAAATGATTAACGTTATTAATAGCACACGCGATATAAATAATACGCAAGCGCAATCATTTTAGAAATTTAAAAAGAATGCCGAGCGATATCAATGTAAATAAAATGCGAACAACAATGCATTGTAAATAAAAACTAACTTATGAAGTTCTTCTTCTTGACGCATTTTTGAGCTTGCGATATACCTTTTCGTTCTTATATTTAATCATTAGTGTATATTGTGTGCTTTGCATTCTCTTTTTTGGTGTTTACACATTTCTAAGTTATTGGAAAGATTGCGATCCGTTTGTCTTAAGCAATAACTTTCAGATACATGTATTTTTTCCGTCTATTTATGTAACTAAGGGAACTCTGAGCCTTGTCAGCTATCTTAGCCTTTCGTACCTTGTCCGAAAAAAATATATATTGTTTTACATGTCGACTTATGTTAATGTCATAGCACGAATACTATTTCAGTGATACACATATTTCTATTTCTCCCCCACATTGTTAATTTTCCTCGGATAATCTGATAGATTGGATATTACATAATTTCTGCTGGAAGATAAACGCCCAAATACTTTTAAATCTTGCTGCCTTAGCTGCCAATTCTAGTGATAGCTCCTTAATTTTCGTTTCTATGCTTTATTAATAAAACAATTGTTTTCCCATAATATTATGGTCTAAAATTATATGTCATGAGCTAGGTTTATCCCCAACTGTCTGCTCATGACATATTGTAAAAGTAATATATCAGCAGTGTTCATACTGTTTTTGATGCCATATACTTGTAATTCTTCGTTTGGTAATCCACTCCACTGCGGTGAAAGAAAGTGATCGCTCAGCGAGTTACAATTAAACAAACTTTTCAAGGAGTAGAAGCTGAAAGTTGGGTTAAAAACCTTAGCAATATTTTAACGGAGACACCTCATTTTTGGGGTACTGTGCGTTAAAATGTATCGATATGTCTTAACGTGTTAGCAATTACTTTTCACGTACATAGAATAATATTCGCGTTCTTTAGAAGTCCCAGTTGAAATTTTGGTTGTGTAAATTCCCAATGTATAAAGTTTTAGGGGCAGTTCCTGCGATTCTAAAGTGATGTTCTAGATGGAAAAGTGCAAGAACGTTTATGACTTCGATTCGCTGAGGCTCTTAAAATTGTTGCAAATGCTCGAGTCACTTTCAACTCAGTTGCATACATCAGTCCGTTGTTGGAAGTCTTTTTCGTGGGACATATTGATCGCTCGGACGCTGACTCTAACTCTGTGTTGATAAAGCGCTGTTATACGCTGCGTCATTTGCCTCAGATTGCATGCCGATATGCAGTGCAACGAAGGTTCTCGACAGTGAGAGGATCAAAAGCCGAACAGCGCTGCAGTGTCTATCACCAGTTGCAATGCTCAAAAACCCTAAGCCTTATTCGAATATTCCCACATGTGACAAAAATGCCAAGAGTTCGGTTCAGTAAAAGTTTTCGTTTTAGGGTTGGGAATAGGATTTACACCTTACGTAAAGTCGTCCCCATCGAAATTGTATATTTGACAGCAGCTGACTTAAGCAGTATGAGGCCACAAAAAAGAACCGTAATGTGTACCAAAATCGGTTATTCTCGCATCCAACCGCGCACATTTACATCCATGTCCCCTGTTTTCCAACTCGGCCGCCAGGCTGCGCCATTTTTTTTATCTCCACGTGGATTGGCGGCCTCTCCACACTTTGCTGCTTCAAGTCTTTTGCGCTATGTGAAGGTGAAAGCCCTCTGGAGCTAAAAATATGGAGTACACTCTTTCCTCACTTGTGGCGCAGAGTGCGGTATCAGGAACACAGTCTACGACACGGACCGCATTGTTGGCGGCACGGATGCCGGTCCCCATGAGTTCCCTTGGCAGGCGTCGCTTGGCCTCTTCAGCTCACCCGTGTGCGGGGCGACCATCCTCAACGACCGGTGGGTCGTCACAGCGGCCCACTGCATTCGGTGAGATAAGAGTAGAGCCTATATTTTTCACCAGTTTTTTTTTTTTTTGCTTGTTTATCAGGGACAACTTGATAACGCAAAAATCTATCGCGCCTATTATTTTGACAAGCAGGCAGAAAACACAAAACACAACCGCCACGAAGACACCTAATTTCATGTTACATTCAGCAAAAGAAGCAAAGCGAATTAAACATTCGATACCCATAACAAAAATTATGCATACGAGTTGAGAACTTTTTTTTCCTATCGTATCAACAGAGACTTCAGAACAAGAAAAAAGGAAACACGCACATTGGTATCAAAGAGCGTTGACCCCTTTTTCTTTTTCTTGTTTCTAAGTATCGGGTTGACAAGGTGTAGATATACGTGTATAGATAGCGTCAGTCGGTCAGCCCTTGAGGTGTGGGAATAGTGATTTACGCTCTGAATGAAATGTTTCACCAGAGAAGTAGCCTCACATAGTGGGGAGAGACGATTGCGCGCCGGTGTGACCCTCATTCACATTATTGGTCAGTGGTGAGAATTAAAACCGGGATCCCTAGATACTGCAACGCGGGATTGCGTATGCTCCAAGCTCAGCTTCGGTAACAGATTCGGTCATTACTACCCTAGTTCTTTATTTTTTAACTTGTTCGTCCTTTGTGAAAGTAGTATGCGTGAAATCTTGCAGTTGGGTTTTGATAAGACAGTTATATCTTGAAGCATGTAGAACTTTATATTACGCCGCAATTTTTGAACAATTGTGATTAAGCTATTGCCGAAAAAAGAAATTAAGGGAAGAAGCACTGTCACGTTCGATTTTCTCATAAGGCACATTTTGTGGCAATTAAATTTAGATAATAGAAGTGTCGACATGAAGAAAGGGTACCGTATTGTTTCTCTTCGGCACACTCCTTTGAAGGCTTAGTCTCCCTGGGTGAGCAGCAACTGAGGAAAACGAGGAGACGAGAGCATGAGGGGAAGTGAGAAGGGCGAGCTCTGGTTGGAATGATTAGTGGGCAAAGCTAAAGCTAGTAGCCTTTGTCTTCACTGCACTCGTCAAACGCGCCCTCTCGTCTCCTTCCCTCCCCCAGTTTCCGCACGTATAGTCATTGCAAACCTAAGAAAAACACAAGGAATGTTTAATTTCACATGTCTTGTTATCCGTCCGTAGCCAATAAAATTACGGCCCTAGCCAATAAGACAAAAAAAAAACAAATCACGAAGACATGCGTTTCAACATAATGAGTTACAATTTGCGATTTTTAAGATGTCATTGACGACACCCATTTCTTCAAGGCACGTAGATATCTATTATTTAAAACGTGCTAATGGGGTTAGCGCCAGAGCATATTTGTGTGAGCCAGAGATATGTGTAAGATATAACGAGGCCTCAGTAAGACAAACAACTCGTCCCTATAGTCGATCACTACCTGAATAATGGGGCCTACTATGTTCAATCACCTTGCTTCGTGATTCACTCTTCCATCATTTCGTCGCCGCCTAATGCCGTACTCGCACTGATTTCTTAGGGATAATAAAATAACTGAGACTCGTGAGCCCCTGCGTTGCTCAGACTGTCGTTCGCCACAGCGTAAACGTATATAAAATAGCATACCACAAGTAAAAAAAAATATATCAAAATTAATGTTGGCTTTAGTTGAGTATGAATATTTAGTGCTACTCTTATGCTAAATATATGAAACGCAAGACGTCTAAACTTCAAAGCTCCTTCAATAACTAACTTCGAAATTGCTAATTTACGAAATTAGTTTGAACGACTGACTGCACAGTAGCGTCTAAACTACGCGCACGTGATATTTCAAAGTATCAAATTTGGATCGCCAAACGTTGCAGTCGCTGACAGCTTCAGAAAGCCAGGATTTTTTTTTTTTTTTTGATATTGTTTCTTTTTGGATTTGCGATTTAATTTTGGGGGGTTCTCATCGACTAATATTGCAGTCCCAATGGTTATGGTAGCAAATTCTCGGGACCCAGGTTCTTGAAGTTGTCAGTGACTTCGAACGTCACACTTCGTTCGGTTGAGCGTCAAGCTCCAATGAGAAATATCATGTCGCACTAGACTGAGGCGCATAAATAAAATGATTAAGCTAGGATTTTTTGTTTTTTTTGTTTATTTCCAGTTGGTTCGCTTAAATGGCTTCATTCTGTCCATCTCACGTTGAGGAATGCAGAAAATCTACCGGCTAGATATTTATTGCTGCACAGACACACCTTTTTTGTAAGATCAGTCACGAGCGAAATATATTAAAAGGATGTTTAATTTCTAGAAAATCTTGGGATAGCGATGTCCAGCCAGGGGGGCTATAGAGAGTTTTAGAGGATCGTTCCGATCACTCCGGTAACAATAACCGATACCCCGCTGCTGCCTTTGCGTGTGCATCGTATCTTTATCGGAGATCGGTATCGGGGATATCAGAGGTATCGGAACGATCTACTAAAACTTTCTAATAATACACAAAACATAAAAGCCTATCAAATATCAAGATATTATCGGTACATCTAAATGAAGTCAAGGGCATTTTCCCTGAAAATTCGAGTAGCAATACGCACGTTCTAAATGTACCATACCGATTTACCATAAATGATTTGCAGGGGTGTCCTGACTGACATTACAACTGTTTTTTGTTTTTCACTTTCCCTCTGTTGCAGTTACCGTCATTACTTCTACAAAGTGCTTGTTGGGAAAAATCATCTTGATCGAATTGAGAGCACGGAACAGTCTTACTCCGTTTCAGCCGTAAGTGTAAACTTAATCCGAACAACCAGACCACGCCTTTTTTAGTATTGTTTTTTTACGTTTCCATACTTTTAGTAGAGACCACCGTAGTTACGAACATTTGGGCAAAGATATCCAATACCGATGCAAAAACAGTTAAAAATAGGGAACGGCACAAACAGACAAAAAAAAACCGGCTTGATATGGCCTATTTCGTATGAAGAACGATCAAAACAAAAATATAAAAAAATAAGTCCTTTTCGTATTTTAAAAGGAAGTAGGAAGGTATCATTAGCATGGACACCATCGCTAAAGTGAACTATATGCACTTAAAGCTTAGAGGAAACAGGCCGTAGCGAGTCTTAAGTCCCAAGCTCCTTAATATTGCTTTACAGCGAATCAGATTGCTATGTTATTGAATAGGAACGACGACGAAAAAAAATCTCAAAACGAGAAGCGTTAGAATATCAAGCCACGCCTTGCGTTTCTTAAGCTGTCCAAAACTAAAGAGGCTACAAAGCTAAGACTATGAAATTACTCCAAACTACACACAACGTGAGCAGCGATTGACGGCGGCAGTTGTTGCGTCGCCGAAACATGTGCTTCAGGATATTTGATTTTCGTTGTTATTGAAGTAAATTCGGAAGACAAAATGAAGGAGTCGTGTCCGCCTAGCTGGTTGTCACAAGACTGAGCGTTTATTCGTCGTCGTCGTCGTTTTGCCTTATTTTTCGGCGCGGCCGATCTTGATAGATCGGCGGTTTAGAGTAAAAGAAGAAAACAACAACAACTTCGGTCAGCCGCGTGAACCGCAGCGCGTGCAGCGTCATTCGCTCCCCAACAGTTATGCTTTAAGATACTCGGTTTTGAGTTTGGCCTTGAGTACGATAGTTGGAGAAAGAGAGAGAAAAAAACTTTATTAAAGCCGCCCATGTCCGGGTCGTGCACAAGACGCGCCGAAGAACTTTCCAGAACCCCGAAGCGGCGGCGGCGGCTTCGCGGAGCTGCTGCAGTTCGGGCGCCTGCGAGGCCGCAGAAAGTAGATGAGGAGGGAGCAGTCACGTGGGCAGTGGGTGTGACCGAAGCCGGATTTCCCAAAAAACAAAAAAGTGATAACAGCCGCAGAAAAGAAAATTAAATTGCTGTTATTGATTGTATATAGCATATGCCGATCATGTATATGTAGCTCAAGTAGAAAACACTGATGATAAGAATATAATCCTCGTTCTCGCAAGGCCTGCATCGCGCCTGGTGTGCGAGTGGTTACTTTAGCGCACTCCCGCGCTGTACACGTGTTGTATGTCTTCCTTATATTGACAGATTTAGGGACTTTTGACGGCGCTCTGCAAGCGTCTATTTGGAACTTTATATGTATCGTCTGTAATTAAAAAGATAACTAGTAAATTTTAGTTAACCATTTAGGTATTTGGTGCGGTTTTATTGCAATCACTGACGTCCACCATGGCTGCCAGGTTACTCCCGCAAATGATAATCATTATATCCTGAACGACCCTTTTGGTAGGATTTTTTTTTTTTTTTTAGTCTTCGCTAAAACACCTGTAACATTGTCGGCACGTGTCTGAGAATCCAATCAAGAGTTCTTTCTTAAAGTTGAGCGATCAAAGTGTCGCAATTAAATCTTCTGTCGTCCCATCTTTCATAGATCATTGTACATCCAAAGTTTGATCCCGACAGCGTGGATTACGATGTGGCTTTGATTCTCCTGTCGAAACCCTTGAACTTTGCTAAATACTCCTACCTGAGGCCGGTGTGCCTGCCTTATTCCTTCGAGAATTTCACGGGTCTACCATGCATCGCAACTGGCTGGGGCTATACAAGACCAGGTGTGATCCTTTCTGTATTTCATATTGTTAAGTTTGCATTAGCGGCAAAGTCGCACATCTTTCGTTATAATTTTATAATACATTAAAACCATTAAAAAATAAGTTCTTTACTGTGTAAACTTCCCAGGTCTTTTTTTTCCAACTTCTAAATATCTTTTTTTTTTTCTTTATTGCGTGCCGCTTTTTTGGGAAAGTTCATAAGCTATTTCTTTATTGCCTTTGTTAAGCGGCCCTTTTTATGCATAAAATATCACATTCTATAACTAGAATGCACAAATAGAATGAAGTGCTATGCATAAGATAAGGTGCCTATTACCCCTAGGCAGTGACGTTTGGCTTTGTAAGGTAACGGTAGCGTCATTTTATTGGGTACAATGATTGCGTCCTCGGCCACGCTCATTGGATCCAATTGTGAGCTCGAACGTCCAAGTGCCGTGCCAAACTGAGAAGAAGATATTACGTTCAATAGTTCCGTGCTATGGCCAGACCCTAGTTCCGCTTTTTGCCCGCCAGGCGCCCTGAATATAGTCAGTGACACGGTAATAATGGCTGGGCGTCTTTTTCGATCTCCCGACCTCCCGCACACGTTTTCTGCTTTCCGCCGTACTTTGGATGCGCGTTCGCCATCAATAAATACAACACGCTGAAGCGCTATAGAAGGTGAGGAACTCACGCTACCGGGGCTCCGTGTCGTTCTCATCATTTCAGTAAATAAAGCAGCCGACCGAGATACATCCCATCTATTGCCTCGGGGATATATATCTTAATGGCGCGTGCAAAAAACATCGGCGTTATCTCGTCGCTTTTATCTGCAGCATATGTTACATCACCCTTCCGAAGGCTTTCTTACAATAACTCAGTTTCCCGATGACTGCTATATAAAAGCAGGGCTTTTCGTTTTCGCAAAATGGCGCATCCTTTCGAGCATTGAACAATATTAGGTGGTAAAAGTACCCAAGTATGTAACTGCACGGTAATTTCTAATAAACGATCGAGCGAATGTATCTTTATAAGATGACGTAAAATGTGGCTTCACTGCAGTTTTGTACTTAAAGCGTCCAGACCCAGCGCCTCAATATTGTTTTGGCGGACGTAGAGACGCCTTCTGACGCGCGCTAAAAATAGTATTTTACGTCCTCCGTCGGGTGAACGACGAATGGCGCTCGTAAACGGGCTCTGATATTATCAGTGCCATCTAACGGACGCTCTACAATTTTTTCACCTCGCGTGCGTGGAGTACGCACGCGAGGTGAAAAAATTGGAACAGCCAACATTCGTGTTTTGTATTCTTGCGTAGGTAGAGGGTGGCGCAAGCAATTGCTCGATTTAAAAGGATCAACCGCATACGTTTGCACGTCCATCCACGCCTATCTAATTGCTGTAGTGTGAAAGTAAGGAATATGACCAAGCAGATTCTTTATGACATGCATTTCTGTGCCTGTTTTCTATTTTTGCCCGCGTAGTGCGCTCAGACCCATCCCCAGGATTTTTTTTTTTTTTAAGTGATAGGAATTGAGGTCTTTGTGAGCATTCCGGAGTAAGTAAAAAAAACAAAAAAAAAAACTTATGAAACGTCCTTGGTTCCCAGATGGATCGGAGTCTGATGTTCTGCAAAAAGTGAACCTACCAGTGTGGAGCCAGAGCAGCTGCAGGAGTACCTACAAAGATATAAATGACATAACGGACAGAATGATGTGTGCCGGTTACTACAAAGGAGGTCGTGGGCCTTGCAAGGTAAGGTTTTTGTTTTAAACAGCGCAGAAGATGAAAATTACCGAACTTCTGACAAATATAAATGTAAAATAAAACTAGAAAAACTGTCGTGTTTTGATTATACTTTTTCCCCCTATAAGTAGAGCACAGATATCGGAAGGCACTACAATAAAGAAGAAGATGGGCTCATTCTATCAAAGATGCGTTTTTTGCGAAACAAAGCTCGTCCTTTCATGGTGCCGTCGATTTAGCTCCTGAAATTATATTGGCCAACAAAGCACATTTTAACCACCTATCCAAATACATGTTGATTCACCTTTGTGACGCAAAACAGTTGCAAGAGCCGACTACTGCGAAGTCTCATATCAAACGAAGTTCGATTTCATATATCCTCAGAAACACTTGTAACTTGACCTGCATTGTATCCAGCTGTCAGTTGAGCCGTCGTAGTCCCCTATTTTGCTTCACCAAGAGAACAGGCCACCGACATCCACATTCTTTTTTTATAAGGCGTGGACGTGCAACGCCTCGGCGTCTACTATCACTTTCACCGTCTTTATTCCCTCTTGATAGGTACTAACGACGGCGGTTAGCCAACACCCGATGATATTTTCAGTTTCCGAGTTACTTGCTCCGAGCCATTGAGCCATCACAAACTGTCCTTTGTCAGAGTCGCTTAAATAAAAAGCCTTCCCCTAAACATGCACGCAAACTAAAAAAAAAGCATTCCTCTGCATCCTCGGCAGCCGTTAACTACCATCCACATCAGCAGGTGGTAGATAACGCGGATGGTGCATCAGCCAGCCACGAAAATTCACACAGTTGTTTGGGGAGCAGGGTTGGCTGAGCGCTGTGCATTACTAAAAGGCAACAACGTCCTACAAAAGAGTGTTCAAAAATTTGTAATGTTTAGATAAAATTACAAATGCAAGGCGCCGTTATGAAACAATATTTAAAAACAAACGAATTCTTTAAAATACACTTTCTTAACGTGCGCATATCAGCGGACATTCTACGACACTATTAACATGAAAAAGACATCGCCAGTTTTTTTTTTTGTTGTTTATTTCTATGCATTGAAAGCAGACTTATGCCTATCTCGAATACTCTACTCAAATATTTAAAATACCTTTAAAGTATCTTGGTATCTTGCAAATACGTTTGATCTAGAGTATTTAATACTTTATTTTAATTACATTTCCCAGTACCTTGTACTCATTATCTCAAATACATTTTTGAAATTCCGCCATTTCCCGAGTTTTCTGTATGGAATGGCTTGGGCGTGGCACGAGCAAACGTGAACATTCTTTCGAGCAACCAAATCCTCGCGCTAGTTCCGATTAGCTAAGGTGACTTTGACTGAGCTCGTGAAAACATCGCTCTTTTGCCGATAGTGACTCATATTTCAGCCCAAAGTTCGTACAACCAGGGTTTTCCCCTCGCCTTCCCAACGCGCCTTTTGTTTCCTAGAGTTTCAACCCAAAAATCCTCAAACAAAAGGGGTGGTTTTACGGAAGTAAAGATAGCCACACTGAGGCGCAACCCAGACCAGGAAACGACGTACGACAACAATGCAGACTTGAGTGTCAAGAAAATAACGAATAAAAAAAAATATAAAGTGGACAGACGCACACAAAATATTTTGCTTTTTGCATATTTGACTCTGCTACGGCAAAGCGTCGGGATTTTTTTTTTCGTTTATTTCTTTTTGTCGTCGGACAATCACTTATTGCTCTCGCGAACAGTGTCCGTAAGCGAACATTGATGAGGAGAGAACAGGACACGACGCAAACTAGGAGCTGGAAGACCTCTCAAAATGCCAACAAACGTTGATCGTTGAGTTGACAATAAACGTTGACAAACAACGTTGAATGCCTTTCTGAACACAACCTACTTAAAGAATGTGCGGCCACTGCCGTGGCTATTATGTGGGTTCTCTTTGTTATTCATTCACTCATATCCGTATCCCAAGTTCGTTTATATTATAGTGAATGTGGATTGTACTTAAACGATGCGTCTAAGGTGCGCCGCAGCACGTGATATTCAGCGATGTCATTATTGGCGAGGCACTCTGACCCGCCCGTTTGTTGCCCCCACACCTCGGTGTTTACCCAACACAAGACCTGTGCACACGCCCACAGGCCTTCTGGGAATGTTCATGTTATCTCCTTTAATAGAGCGTGGGGCACAGTGTAATGTAAAAATACTAATAATAAAGAAACTGACGTTAAGTGCCGGATCTCACCCGAAAGCAGTAGTAAGAGGATGCGAGCTTGAGGGCATTTGTGCTGAGCTGGGCACCGTGCATGATGCGTTGTTTATGCAGCCTGGAGTGCTAACAAAGGAGACCCTCTTCCCCCTCACCGGAAAACACGAACTCCAGCCGAACGCTGACGCCGCGTTCGGTTATGTCAGCTGAGTGATGAGTCATTGTATTCGTTGTCCCCATCCGTGTAGTTCTAAAGTTGACCGCTTGGGGGCCACGATCTTATCTCCTCCCCAATAACTAAAGCGACATCTTTCTTGTTTTCCCTGAAATGTTTTGCAACGTGAATCAGTGATATTAGGCAATTTTAGTAGACCGTTTTTCTCCTCCGCTACGGTATCCGCAAAGAAAACGCCGCAGCTGCGCGTGCGCGCCGCCAGCCTTGTCTGCATAGTTCAAGGTCTTGTGGCGGATTACGGAGCGCTCTTCAGGTGCTGAGCGGGCTGCAGAAACGGTCTACTTAAATTCCCCGTTGCTACGCTCGTTTGCCGAGCAAGCGCGTAGTCAAATAACAAAAAAAAAAAAAGGAAAAAGAAAAGCGCGTGGCCGAATGGTTACCGCGCTTGGCTCTCGATCGGAGGCTCCGGGTTCGATTCCTCAGGGAGCGGACTCCTCTTTTATTCATTCTTTCAACTTGGCATTCTTCGAAGTTCGAGAACCTTGTCGTTTGATCGAGTTACGAATGTTCTACGCGCCGAATTTTCTACGCCGAATGTTCCAGAAACCCACGCGGGCACAAAAGGTGCTCAATGTGGCGGTCCGGAGTCAGTCTTGCACCAGGGCTCGATCCTGCTGTTTCGCCGACATCTACACCTGCGACGCTAGCCTTTCTTTATTGTTTTGGGCACAAGTTCGCCCTATTAAACATTTAGTTTCTTCAGTTATTCGCCGCCTCATCATTTGTCATTCGTGAGAATATCCTGCTCCTTATAGTTGGACTGCATAAAATAACTGTGCGATTCTTTTTTTTTTTCGTTTTATGTTGTTGCGTGCTAATAAACCATTGCGGTAAAGCAGATTTGCGCAGCTGTACAATCGTCAATGTTACTGACATCGATACAGATTACGCAATGCGGAAGTATCTTCAACAGTAATTGAATTACATTTCGAAGTATTTGTATTTTACTCAAGATACTTTACAGTGAAAGTAACTTGAGTATTATTTTAAATACTTTACGAAGCAGGTATTTAGTAAGTTAACTTAAATACTTTTATCGAGTGTTTTGTCCAACACTGATTGAAAGACGTTTATCAAGACAAATATATTTGTAAAATGTGCTCAGTTGTTACACTAACCTAAGCGGTAGGTATTTATGCCCACCTGTATCTCCTCCAAACGAAATGGGAAAAGTGCTGGATACGTGTTCGTTTAACCGTGTCGTGCAGTGTGCGTCTGACACGCATCGGACCGAATTCCGATAAGATGCTCTTTGAAGTAGAAACAGGCAGAACGGGGATTCTTCTGCGCGAACTTTTGCTCTACGTCCTTAATGCGCCTCACCAAGGCACTCGACCACAGAACAACCCCTAAGAATGACGAAAATAATCCCTGGAGAAGGGCAACAAAAGGGACAAAAGACAAATACAAATCTTCAAACACAGCTATAGGTGACTGGTGCGCGACCGAAAAAATCCGCCTGGTCCGGTTATCGAACCCGGGACCTCTCCATTACAGGTGGAGAGGTCCCGGTCACCGGTCACCGAGCTGTGTTTGGAGATTTGTGTTTGTCCTTTGTCCCTCTTGTTGCCCTTCTCCAGGGATTATTTTCGTCATTCTTGTCCAGCTCGCTTGCACCTTTGCATTTAATTGCATTATAATCATAACCCCTTAGAACCTGGCGAGTTCTGGTTAACATATATTTTAGAGCGCAGCTCTTCGTCACCCGTTTACGGCTTGAACGGCACCGGCATCGGCGTCGCCGTCGGCATAACCGCGAGTTGCATGATAGCACGTTTCCCATAATGACGCCACGCCACGAGGGTCATGAGTGACGTCACGAGGGCCACGAGGGAGAAGGAGTAAATTTTTTCCTCTTAATTTAGCGGAGAAAAGTCCCCTCTAAACTTAGCGGAAGCATTTCCCCACTAAATTTGGCGGAAAATATTCGCCGCAAAATTAAGCGGAAACAATATCTTCGCTAAATTGAGTGAAAAACTTTAAACGCTAAATTTAGCGGGAAGAACTCTCCGCTCAGCTTGGCGGAAAAATCTTCCCACTAAAAGCAAAAAAAATTCCCCGCTAAGTTTAACGAAAAAAACAAAACTCCCCACTGTATTTAGCAGAAAAAAATTCCCTGCTAAATTTAGCGGAAAAATTGACTTCTACATTTATCGGAAAGATTTTCCGATTAAATTTAGCGGGAAAATTTCCCCGCTAGATTTAGTGGGAAAGATCGTCGCTAAATTTAGCGAAAAATCTTCCCCGATAAATTTTGCAGAAACATTTTCCCGCTAAACTTAGCAGGTAATTATTTCGCTGAATTTAGCAGGAAATGCTCTGAAAAGTTCCAGCTAATTGGTAGGGGAGAAATAAATGAGGAGGGGATTGTGCGGAGGTGAAGGAGGAAATGCTCTCCCCTCTATACACTCTCCTCCTCCTCCTCAAGAGTTGCGCTCTAATTCGTGATTACAGAGAGTTGTAAAAGTCTCATTTTAAAAAAAAAAAACTTTTATGGTCGAGTTTTTTTTTTTTTAATTTCATCTTACAACATTTTTTTGCTCTTTTATTGAAAGAAGTTCTAAAAAAAGCGTTATGTAAAAATAGGAATTTTAGAGAAAATATGAGTAAACAATTCCCTTCCCGTGGCCCAGTTGGCGTTCCAATTTAATCGTACATTTTTTTTTATCATCGAGCGAAGAAATCGCAGTAGCCGTAGAACCTTCGAGTGCCACTCCAACCAAGAGGTCGATCCTTGACGCCAAATAAAAATATTATTATATTTGCTTCACTCACGAGCTGGGGCCTCGGAGGTTGTATGGACACGAATCGGGTCAATCTGGAGCGATCACTTTCCCGCAATGCACTTGAGAGAGCCAATCGCTGCAATCTACGGCATGGGCTCGACCAATGAGGGGGTTGATCACATGGTTGGACCCAGAGCCGTATATGTAGAGAGTTTGGCCATTCGTTGGGAAGTATAGGAGACAAATGAGGAGGCGCCTTTGGCCGAAAGCGGGCTGGGCCTGTTCCAGGGCGTCTTCACAAATTCGAATGTGACCAACCAGAAGCCGGAAATAATACCCTAACGGTGGTCGCGAGAAACAAACCTGATAAGTGCATCGAAGCAACTCTCGGTGACTGAAAATATGGTACACGTGATGTTTCAATCACGCTCATCCAAAATGAGGGTGGAAGTGTGCGACTAGCGGAACGAGCGACGTAATCCTTACGCCCAGCGCCCAGGGCCGGGAATCTGCCGTCCGAGCGGTCACAATCTGTCCGAGCAAAACAGAGTTGAGCGGCACGTTCGTTTCTTACATCTTTCTGCATGATCATGATCGAAACATTACGTGCACCCTATTTTCAACCACAAAGAGTTACTACACTTCACTCTTACGGGCTTATTAAAACCATATACGAACATATACCTTTGATCAGAACTGTTTCTCGCTACCACCGCTAGGGGATTCTTTCGGCTTCTGGTTGGTCAAGAAAGCATGCCAAGCCCTCTTTCCGAGTCTGGTGCACGCCCTGGCTCTGCCCGCGCCTTGCGGCTACACTTTCCACTTTGGTGAATATTGAGAAAATTGTTTGTTATATCTCTGCTTAAAAAAAACATCATTATATCGTCCAGCGACCTCGAATCTTTAGTTTGAAGGTGACATACCTTTCAAAATTTGTTTAACATGAAACGCCAAAGGACCTTACAAGTGACTTTTGGAAAAGTCCAACGTTTTTCTTTGTTCACTGTTGGACAGCGGCAGGCAAAACCACTTGATTTCTTTTTAGGTTGATATGTTTTTTGCAAGATGGAGGCACAGTTTACTGGCAGGAATGCCGCTTCCCTTCAGCTCATTAGAAATAATACGTGAGCGGAAAGTATGCTTCTTGCCGCCCACGAATAAGTTACGTGCACGGCCGACCTTGGGAGACCCTTTGTTTTAACTTCATTGCAAGGCGCCATGTGGTGTTCAAACGTTATCGATGTTTTAAGGACAATGTACGCTCGATACCATGATCATCTCGTTAGTAAAGATTGTTTGGCCTCGGTGCACCGTTCTGCAAAAAATGGAAACTTTAGATAAGATAACAATTTATCCAAAAAATAACAAAAAAAGAAGTCCCGATAAATCAAAAGTACACATGGCAATAGTGACATTCACACTTTTGTGAGTGCTGCCAGTTTCATTTTATTACAGGCCAGGGAATTATCCAGTTTGCTTTTATTATAGTAAGTAGCACTTCAAGTATTTCATAACTGGTTTACACGACCAATGCAAAAAAATGTACAAGGCCTAAAAAAATAACAATTCCGTTCGTGAGTTTCTAGTGAGTGTTAAATAATATTGCAATAATGCCGCCAAAAAAACATCAGCCAAATGTTAAGAGTTTTGGCATTTGATTGGCTGAAACCATCTCTTTATGGAGGTTTCCTTGAACAAAGGAGAGACGGAGTAAGGTGCAGATGGTGGCAGGACGTGTTGTTAGGTTAATTTTTGTGTTTTTCAGTAACTTAAACACTTGCCAAGAACCTTTTTACTTCAAGGTCTAAAATACACGGGATGCAGTATTTAACGAGCGATTCTTTACATTTGTCTAGAAGATATTAAACGGTCGTTTCGAGGAGAGAAAGTCAAATTGTATCTGAACTTTCCTCCCCATTTAGCGGGGAAAATTAACGTCACGTGACCTGACGTCACGTACCGTGATGACATCACGTGACACTAAGACGACACCACGACGTCACGGTGTCAGGTGGCCTTATGTTACGTGACGACAGATCCCGTGTCGTCAATTCCTCCGCTAAAGGCAGTGGGAAAGCGTTATTCTTATGTCAAGTCGTGCGTGCGTGTAACCTGAAACCGCGACGTCACGTCAGTTTCCCCGTTAAATTTAGCAAGGAAATGCACGAACAGATGGACGAACAAATTTCTCGTGTACTCCGTTTCCAACCAACTCAGCCTAGCAGACGCAAGTATTCGATAGAATATATCGAAGAACGTCGAAAGTGCATCTTGACGGTGCTCTTCGTCTTTGTGCGTTTGTAAACACTGGCCAATACCAATCAGACGCAGCGAAAGTGCCGTCATCCTGGGATTAATTTTTTTCTTTTGGGGTGGTTGCGTTGATCCGGTAATATAAAACGCACAAATGCCACGGGTGCCAGGACGACGCACTCTTGGCGATGCTTGAATTCGGAGTATATTAAAACCTCTCGTTAAAAGAAAATCCCCACTTTAATGAGTGACGGTTATCAAAAATACTTTGATAACTACCTTTTCGATGACAGGGAGACTCCGGCGGTCCTCTTCAATGTCCCAGGAGCGACGGCACCTGGGTCCTAGCTGGCATCACTTCTTGGGGCATGACTTGCGCGGCGCCTCGACGACCTGGAGTCTTCATGCGAGTCAGCACCGTCAGGAAGTTTGTCGACTTCTATATCAAGCAAAAACCCGCCCGTCGCTAAACAATAAAAAAAAAAAGATACCTGGAAGCTAGGTGTGCAGTGTGGGCTTGTTTGTCTTTATTCTTTTCACCACAAGTGAAAGACCAGGGCGCATATAGTGCCCACTTTTTTGGTCGTTAAATAAATACGTTACAAACCAAAGTGAAGTCACCATAAGTGATTTGAACGTGCCGAATGCAAAACTAGTCCACAAGCTGGGAGGCATATTAAGAAACGCTTGTGAAGTAAGTAAACTGCTCGATTTCGGCACTCTGAAGCGTATTCAGTCATACGTCGCGGCACCTGCTTTACGGGGAGAGGAGAGGAAGGGGTCCCAAGGTTATAGTGAACATGCCTATGTGTTTTCGAGCTAGCCATTTGCCGCCTCCTAGATTTGCTTACCCAATAAGCGTAAGAAAATATGGAAGCCGGGTAAAGGCTTAAGGGCGAATCATGGCCTGTTTACTTGAGCCTCGGCGGCCCCTTTCACAACCCCCCCCCCCCCCTCCCACACCACGTAAACCCGGCAATGTGACGTCCCTTCTTACACGCAATCCACACCGCCGAAAAGGACATGTTGACTTGCTCTACGAGCGTTTCCGAATACGCAAACGGGAGACGCTATTTCTAAAATAAGTGCGCCGCCTTGACAAAACGATTAATGAAACTTCCGTGTCCTGTGCGGGAGGTGCCAGCCATCATGTGCAGAGCAACTTTGAGGGTTCAATGAACATTCCAGTGTTCAGACCAAAAAACGCATTTGCAGTCACATACTGATGATGCTTCCCGCATCAGAGGTGAAATGTTTTGAAATATTTATTTTGAATATTTCGTCTAGTCAGCGTGTTTATTTTAGTCATAAATTAAAACAACTGTTCCATGTTGATAGCTTAGCGAAAAAATAAGGGTAGTTTTGATTAAACAAAATGTGGACCGGGCACTGCAATCGTTTTAGATATGCTTCAAGTTGGATTCACGAACAAAAATTGAAATTGCTGTTACTTCAACTTCGGTAAACAATTTAGCAATTTATACTATATGAAACGAAAGTTGTTAGATTTTCACACAAAGGTGATAATTAGAAATAAAGTTCAGTTCATGCCATTAAAGAAACAATTTTAGTTCTGCGATGACAGATCTATCTCTACAACATGTGATATTAGTTTTGCTTTTCACGGGTGCAATTCACTAAAGCCTTTTTGAATGTAGTACTCCAGGGTGCCACAGACAAAATTTACAAAGCTTTTTTTTTTACGACAAAAATAAACTAGGCATAGCCGAACGTTCATTTTCCGCCCAAAAGTAGCGCTGGAGGTCAAAACCAGATGGCAAAGTTTCAGCCCGATCGATACCTTATTCAAAAGTTATAAGTGGTTTTCTGAAAATTTCAACGGGAAAACGGCGACCGACGGAGTTTTCGAATGCATGGGGCTTTAATGCACCAGAAACCGCAAACGGCCAAAAATCGGCTCCGTTTTCTCATTGAAATTTTCAGAAGATCACATAACGTTTGAATAAGGTGTCGGATCGGACTGAAACTTTGGCCTTTGGTTGTGACCTCTTGCGGTACCTCTGAGCGGAGAATGAGCGTTTGGCGATGCCTAGTTTATTTTTGCGTTAAAAAAATCCCTGTACATATTTTTGTGGCACCCTTTATTGTACCAAAACAATAGTACTCACTGGGTTATGAGTTTAATTATTAAGAGGAAACAAATCACAATTCTCCAACTATGACAATTAACTTTTCATAGCAACGCTTGGTATCTGGTTTTTCGTGCCTGACCCATATAAATATTCACATCACTTCGAAAATTCCAAAATATAAAAGGTATATCCGACAGACCCACATACACACGAACCAAACATTTCAATATATGGTTCCCGTAATATTTTAGTAGTCATGCCTGCCAATCTTTAAATTGGCACTCATATTGGTCCTTGTGCTTAGCATTTGATGATGTTTGGAGAACCCTTACAAGCCAGTGGATACAAATTTCAAATAAAGTAAAGAAGACTAAATATCAAATAACGTTCCAGCTTCACTTATTGCTAAGCAACCAAGTTCGGTGCGCAAGAAGCACTCAAGTCATATCTTAGTACACTCTTCGCACTCTTTTATTGAAATGAAAGCGTGTATTTAAAGTAAGGTGGGCGTTTTCACACCACAAGTTATTCGGCCCGTATTTTTATACCCGGTGAGCGCACAAAATGACAAACAGTGTACTGTGCTCGTGCTGTTCATTTTCTAACATGCCTTCAGTGCCAAATTAAAAACAAGTTGTTCAAATTGCGCTGTTCATTAGTGTCAACCACATTAAAGCACATATCCCTCAAACATTATATCTCGCTTTGCAAAACTGTTGTTTACAATCCGTGATTCAATTCGAAGAAAAAAGTTATATTCATATAAACTCGAGACATGTCTTGACTTTCAAAAACACTAACATACGACGCAGTATAACTGTCTTGGTATTTTAGCTGTTTCTTTGAGTGTGATGCACAGCATGCAAGAAACACATTTTGGCGGCTCGAATGTTGGTCGCTATGAACAGTCATCAAAATCCTTTCACGTGTCCAATCACTCATCACCCCACACATTCCCGTCATTGTTGCCGATCAGGGTATAATTTGTAAGTGCATCCGGGTGAATCAGTCTAATGAAAATGTTTTTAGTGGATCCAACTTCAACTTACCACAACAATGCACACTCGTAACTAGAAATAGTCTCCAAAGCATTTTCAACTGCTTTAAAATTGCTTTGACTCGAATCAAGCAGCGTGTCTTCGTTCAAGTTGTACCCACCATAAAGGTAAACGACATATCTTTGGTCTGTCTTACCACTGTGCGGTTTATTGCTGGAGTGGCGCTGTTTAATTCGGATAACTCTTTCCACAACGTTAGTTAAGGAACAGTGCAATGTTATTGCCAGCTCTTCCACTGCAAAGAGACCCAAAGTACTACAGTCATGAATCGATAATATGAACCGCATAAATATGGGCACCCTTCCATATAGAAAACAGTTTAGGGGACGAAATGAACGAATATTTGCATTTTGTCTGGTATGAACAATTTGTTCTGTGAACGAACGTGTTCATATTAACAAGACATGACTGGTGTAGTCTGGCGATGCACGTCTGAGGCTACGAATCATGAATCGGAAAATCCTTTAGGAATTTCATTTAGCACCACCCTTACCTGAATAAAAACGTCACACCTAAAAACAAAAGCACACCAAGACCACCCACGAAGTCCAGCCGGAATGTAAACAGTTTCACAGTACCACGTCCTCGAAGCAAAACACACGTCTAAAAAATGTACTCGTGGGCTTCGCTATCGGGTGTCGGCTCACCACCGTAGACTGTCCCGGCCATGTCGAAATTGAAGTGTGACGTCTGCTCTAGTCGGCGATTATGGATTTGAACTCTGAGCAGGTCCCCGAGCTCAAACCCATCTAAGCGCTACTTGACACGGCCGGAGGGGGTCCGTAACCTGGAGCGATGACCCGTGGTCGTGTCTTGAGGCACTGCCTTCTTGGGAGTCTTGCGACGGCGACTGGTGCGCCGGTACCTCAGCATCATGGTGAGGTAGTCGGGCCAGTCGTCGGGAAGAAGGACCAGCATAAATCCGATCAGGATGAGGAGGATGCCAGCGAGCTTCATGCCTTCAAAGAGTACTTCGTAGATGTAGACATCCACGACTGGGTGGGAGGCAACGTGAAAGAAACATTCGAACGATCCGCCTTTTTTGAAAGGTAACTTGTTTCCCAATGTCAAATATACTTTACAAAGCATAAGCGGGTGCATACTTCTCACCAAACACTTGCAAAATCCTCCGCTGCAGATTGAAGGTGTACTCCCTACATTTGGAGAACGCCTTTCTTATATAGGGTGTCTAATTAGGAGTGCAAGATTAAATTTTTTCATAAGATTCGCCATTTATTCAAATTAAGTGATTATTTTTGTTTTGTTATAACGTACACGATTCGCGACGAATTTTGGAACACAATAGTTGAAATATGTTACACACCATTCTGCTGGCACACTGTTCCTTTTTTAATTTATTTATTAGTGAAAGTTTTGCATAATTTTCGCTCATCTTCTTGAGCTCCGGAGTTGGTTGCGCTTGTCTCCACAGACACAAGGTTTCACGAGTACCCCAAAAAAGAAATCGTACGGTGTTGAATCACACGGCTTCGGTGACCTATTCTGGCCGCCGCTATGTGAGATGACACGGCCAGGAATCTTTTCTCGCAACAACTCAGTTGTTTTGCGTGCGGTGTAACAGAGTCTTGGCAGAAAATTGTAGGATATAATGCTCCACAATAAATTGCAGGATGTGTAAGGTCTATTGAAATAACAATATTAGCACCTCTTTAAAGAGTGATCCGTTTTATTTTACAATAAGCTTTTGTCCTCTTGTGGAATACCATATAGTAACGCCGAGGTTACGAACTTTATATTTCTTTAAGCTTTCGCGTCTCAAGTCACATTGCGCATGGTATCGGAGTATGTAGCCCTCTAACACTCGTATAAAACAAACTCATAAACCAATTCACTCAGACATGTTACAAGTATATACCTTGTGATAAACATGTAGGATGGTGCTCCTGTAGTAGAAAAAATATGAAAATATGATCGAAGAAGAATTTACTTTAATAACACAGCTCCTGCCTGGCGTTGTAGCCCACTTCAATCTCCGTACTAAGCTCATAATGAAAATTCGCATGTAGCGGACATTACAGCTGGTATAATCTCTAACTCAAGCATGCGAACAAAAACACTATATTAGGACACTTGCTTCTTGCATAAAGTAAAGTTATAAAAGCACGACCGAAGAAGACAATAAACACAGTGAGGTTTACTATTCTACTCTGCTTGACTTGTTTGTCAAGAAAAGTGCACAAATAGTTAATGTAAACGGAGCACAAGCTTTCTTATTACTATTACAGGGTAGCTAAGTATGTCCATGAAATAAAAGCTATCCAGTTTTTGGGTAAAGGTTGAAGAAGGTAATCCTTTTTCAAACTGTCATTCAGTCATAGGACACATTTTTATGCCCATATATGATAATCAAAATAGATGAACTATACAAGCGGTGACTGGGCTGCTTATAGTGAATGTGTTCTAGAATTCTTATGTAACAATTTTAATCTCGTCCATCATGGTGGTTTTTATAAAACTTTAGCTGCGCGTTTCACATAGCAGGATCGCTTTTTTTTTCAATGCTGCTGTTATTGTCTGGGGTAAAACTGCTTCCATCCTTATCTGCCAAACTCTAATATTTGTATGCGTTGGAGATTTAATGATCACCAAGACAATTCTAGTACATGGATACCGCACACTTGCCAACCACAAACCAAATGTAATTTTAAGTACAGCACCGACCTTTTGACATATATATTTCAGAAAAAAAAAAGGTGTATTATGTATGTGCTTATTTTCTGTGAAGCTCAATAGACAAAACTTACTTGCTGAAATTGGCACTGCAAATGCAAGTCCTAGTGTTAGAAAGATCTCGAAGGTCCACATGATGCCGAAGTTTCCCAGCAAATTAGACACTGAAACAGAAATAAACACAAGAACACTAAGAAGTTGCTAAAAAAATATAATGCTGCACCCTCTTTAAGAACAAATTAAAACTTTCAGAGCACCCACCCGATTACAATGCTATGAAAAAAGCCAGTTCTAGTTATGCCTCTCGCCTTTCAAACTCCCTTTTATATAAAGATGACCAGAACTGGGAAATCAAATTTGTTATATTGCTTTATAACAATAGAGATCTTTAAACATATTTAATAGTTGCTGCCACCTTAAACAAAGCTTAAGCTCCGGATCGCTTTGCCTTGAAAATGCTTTATTTATTATCACAGTTCTTGTTCGTAATCAATCCGTCAATCTTGCGCAGAGCAATGACTAAAGTAGTAAATTCGTGCATATCTCTTAGAATAAAAATAATAACGGCATGTATATACGTGTATACTACATGACAGAAGCTGCGTGCAGTACAGGCGAAGGCAACGCCAGGCGAGGAGAGGAATGGCAAGCACTAGAAAGGCTGGGGAGGAGGAGAGAAACATCCTCTTCTCTTTAACGTTCCTAGTGCTCTTCCTTTCTACCTCCCCCCGTTATTGCCCTCCTCTCCTGTTCCGCCTTTCTCGTGCTGCTTGTGCTCGCCCCTTCACTGTTCGCCTTGCGTTGCCTACGCTTGCGCCGCACACTAGTGACACGAGGCATAGTCAAGAGTATGTGCTACACCAACTCTATCATCGCGACCTCCGATAAAATTGGGCCTGAGAGTGGTGGCTCTGTGTGCACACCAGAACAACATGTGGTAAATGTGTAAATTATAATGCGCTTTCTTTAATAAATACGAGCAACGCACAAAAATATCCACCGCTCGTCGAGCAACGTATATTTTTTATACTAGAAAAAGAAAACTCTCTATTTGAGGATATATATCTACTCACATATATTAGTCAGAGTACAAAAAGAAAAAGAAATCCGTACGTTTTTTTAATCTTCGAGTATTTCAGAAATAGTACCCGGTCAGGCTAAGTTCATACGGAAGGGAGCACATAACAAAGTTCGGTTTTCTAGCGTCGCGGCGTTTTTATTGGGACACTTCGGAAAGAAGGTAATATCCTCATGGTATCATGACACTCCATAAAGAAGGTAATTTGTTGTCATCCTCGGTTTGAGTGCATAGAAATTTACATTGGCTCTTTTATAATATTACTGGAGCATAGAAATTTCATGTTATAAGAGTCTTTAAAATTTTCTCCGTTTTCTGGCAGCATATCCACTTTGGCTTGACCTTGTTTTCCGATGACAGATCAACCTGGCGATTGAAAACCTTACCTAGACATGGCCCTGGGGAACACTCTTAAAAAGTCTGGTAGTTAACTTCCCTGCAGAATCCTAAAGCATCCACTCAGATCAGATAAGATTAATTTTTATTTCTTCAAAGGTATCCGAATTGGGACCCATTACATGCGGGGGGAATAAATACAACATTATATGCAAAATACCTAAAGGTAAACAGCAAAGCATCGAAAATCATACGCAGATCTCGCTTTACAAATGTTATTTACAAATCGCGCGAACTTTAGTTTCATAGACGATATGAGCGGGTGAGGAATTCCAGTCGGCAATAGCAAGTAAAAGGGAAGAATTTTGAAATTTGTTAGTTCTGGAGAAGGTAGGCTGAATGTTGGGTGGATGATCGCGGCGCTTTGTAATATACGATGAATCTTGAAGATAGAGGCTACGAAATTCCGGTGATGAGTTGAAGATGCGAGGAAAGAAAACAAGACGGGCTAGTTAGGTTCAAACTGCAAGAGGTTTCAACTCCAGGCTGGTTTTAATAATTGTGACACTCGACGTTCGTGAAAAGTCATGCATGATGTAGCGTGATGCCTTGTTTTGAGCAGATTTGAGGTTGTTAAGAAGGTATGCTTGATGAGGCCACCAGATGATGTTGGCGCATTCAAGTTTCGATCGTACAAATGCTTTCTAGGTGGTTTGTTTGACTGCCTGAGGTACATGGTAAAGGTTGCATTTGATCTATCTGAGCGAATTACATGCACTTGAAACGGTGTTATTGATATCATCGTTCCAAGTGAGGTCCTCTGAAAATAGTAATTCCTAAGTACTTGTATGCTCGAGCTTTATCTGTGTCTTCGTTGGTTAATGGAATACTTCTTTGGTGTCGAAGAAGGCTGATTGGAAAATGATATAAATCTTGTTTTGTTTGTATTCAGTCTCAGTTGCAACGCGCTGCACCAAATTAAAATCGTGTTGAAATCTTGATCTAGCAGTGTTTGATAATCGGCCGGTGATGCGGCGGTAGATAGAACATTTATCTGCGAAAAGTCTTATGGAGGATTTTAAGCTAAGTGGCTGGTCGTTTATGTAAACGAGAAATAAAAGCGAATCCAATACGCTGCCCTAAAGAACTCCAGATTTTACTGATAATTTAAAAGTCTTACTCTCTCCGACTTATGTAGCCCGTTTGCGGTTTGCCAGAAAGGTAGCAATTCATTTTATGATAACAGGATGAAGGTTCAGTTGATACAACAAGCATTGGTGAGCTACAGAGTCGAAGAATATGGCACGGTCAATAAATGCGGCATCAGTTGGTTTGGAAATGTAAATTTGTTTGTGCAAATTAGTAACAAATTAAAAAAAAGCTGCGTTTCAACCAAAAACTCTTTCTGAACCCATGGTGGTTAGTACAGATAAGGTAATGGTCAGATAAAGAGCTATTGACATGGGAATGTATGACATGCTTCTTAATTTTGCAAGGTACACTTGTTAATGAAAATGGTCTATAATTAGAAACAGTTTTTATCACCAGATCTAAGTATTAGTAGCACAATCATGGCAAATGATAAAAAAAATTCAAGCAAATTAAAAATACCAGCTTAACATTATCGAAGAAATTAAATGTGGTCAGGGAAAATGAGGATGACTTTTTAGTTGCTCACTTTCTTTCCACATATTGCGTATTATTTTATATAATTTTTTTCTTTTTGCATGGTAATTTGTGTTTTCTAAGCAGAAGTAGAAGATAACATCCCAGTGCTTTCGCATTTAGTATGTCTCGATGAAGCCCCTCAGCACCTCTAGGTTTTAATTACACAGAGGGAATATACTTGTCTTCCTTCTGAGACGAAGCGCAACTCCAGCTCTCTAAGCGACTTCTTCGTCCCATAAGAAGATAAACCTGCTCCGGACTTCTATTCCAGAACCTCTCCAGGAATAGCGGACAACTCTACCAACTGATCTAAATAGATCTTAACTGTTAACAAAACAAAAATATTGTTAACAGCTGCCGCAAGACCTAATCGCGCTGTGCGCGAAACTCTCTGCGCGGACACGACGTTGGTGCTTTTCTTGTTTTATTTTGAAAGGGTAGTTACAGGAATCATAATTTCCACTTAGACTACTACGGAAGTTTTAATGACAGTCCCTAAATACTGTGAGAAAAACAAAATGATGGCTGTTGTTTGTTCGCGCTACCAACACCGCAGAGTGTACAAACCGCAAGTAGGGTGAGTATACTATGTTTAATGATAAGATGTTCGTTAACCCATCTTCATTTCGGTAAACTCTGACTTCGATTTTACAAGATTGGAAGAACGTGAATTGTTAAATCAAGAAACTGCTGCCCAAACGCGGGTAGTGTGACGAAACCTTAATAAGTTCTTTAGTGCCTCCTTGAGCTTGCCTAATCTGGTCCAAGCCACCTGCAAACAGAGCCAAGAATGAGTGGAAGTATCGCGAATAGTAGCGTCACCACGGACCCCAGCCACGTGCGACACCATACCCGCACGCAGGGGGCAGCTGCTTTAGTAGGCGCTTGGTGAGTGGCGTCACTACAAACCCCGAGCCACGTGGGTTCACCCACCCACGCCTGGCTATGCGTTGCTTAACCCGGGGAAAAATGGATCCTGATGGTTGAGCTGAGCCCGGGGTACGTTGGACCCCTAGGGGCCCCCCCGGGCGAGGCAATATACCGCTTTGGCCCCTGCTTCTCTCGTAGACGGGTGTCCATTTGTAAGGTTAAGCTGTCAAGATTCAACGAGAGCATCATGTGCAATGATAGCAACGACTAAAGATCATTGATACCGTGCACCGTTTTAAATAAAAGCCCCACAACGCATGTTGAAGCACAATCGCGATAAGAATTTGTCCTGTTCCATTTAATTCTTCCTAAAATCACCAGCTTCTCCAGTCTACACTCTAAAGGATGTTTCTATTTAGAAGAAGCGCCCAGTAGGCCTCTTTGAAAGGATACCTTAAGAAAGAAATATCATCTTTATGCTTTCTCTCATACACTTGGACTCGATAGTGACCTTTCGGCCTATTTCCTCAGATCTCGCGTGGCTTTTAATTCTAACCATTTTACAACCACTCGACCTCATTTATTATAAAAAAGCCGGAGTTTCATTGTCACGAACGAAAACGAGTACGTAAATTTAGAACTAAAACTAAGTGTCTAAAGCGGCGAGCTCGGGCCTACGAAGAAAATGCACTAGGCGTCTTGGGACGGCGGCGGATGGCAACTGTTCAGAAGCGACGGGATTCTGATGCATTTTATACGCAAGGTACGTTCAGGAAGCTATTAAAGCCGAAGACGTCATCAGTGATGTCTCTACACACCCCCTTGGGGGGGGGGGGGGTGTACACCCTACTTGTTTTTCTGAAGGCACCCCCTTAATTCGCAACGACTCCTCTATACTTAATGCGTTCCCCTAACCATCCCCCCCTAAAAATTTACAGCCACCCCCCCCCCCCTCCTTATTTCAATTTCTGGGTAAACCCCTGGGCTCTATAACAACAAAATGAAACTAAAAATCAACATTCCTGCGTTAGTTCACAGTACAGTCACAGCGATAGCTGCCTCAAGTCAAGGCGAATTCGTTGGATACCGGCGTCGAGTCCACACAGCGTGGAGCGCGTGAACAGCAGAGTTCGGAACAAAATAAACATGTTTGGTTCCGAACAATTTTGTTTCTCTTCTTTCTTCCTTTTTTTTTTGTTTGTTTCAGGAGCG